CCCCCCCCCCCCCCCAACACTGGCACGTAGGGGCCCCCCAAAAGTCTGGCTGCAACCCCCCATCACCACCATCCCTTCCTCCCTCTTGTCTCCCCAACCACCACCACCACCACCACCACTCCTCCCACCCTAATGTGAGGCTGGGGGCCTGGGAAGGACTTCAAGTTCACGGCCAGACCTCCTATTGAGCTGACAGCCTGACTGTTTGCTCAATTCGGCTCCCTATTCAGGGCCGGGCTGGAGGAGGGAGTGTTGAGAAAGGGCTGGAGGATTGGAGGAGGGTGTGGGGGGGTGGGGGGTGTTTCTAGATGGGACACGGTAGCACTGTTATAGCTATTCATTCAGCAAGGGGGGAGACAAGTAAAGAGCGAGGGAGAGAGTGAAGAGGGATGGGGGGGTGGGGGGGGTTCGAGTCGGGGTGCATAAATAAAAAGTGAGGAATCCAGGCTCAAAGTTTGCTTTGAGCGGTGTGCGCCTCTCTCACACTCTTTTAGACTCTTAATTACCGGCGCCTTCCACTTTTCTCTCTCCCTTTCTCTAACTACACCCCCTCCCCCCCCCCCCACCCTCCTCCTCCTCCCCATAACACACACACACACACACACACACACACACACACACACACACACACACACACACACACACAAAATTGCAATCATTCTCATCATCCTCTCTATCCCCTGGTTTTATTAGGCCACATGCTGGGGCTGTAAATTTACCATTAACAAGCTTATTCACTGTAGTCCTCTCAACAAAACAAGACCATGATGCCAATAACTCAAAGCGACACCAATACCCGAAACTGCCTTTTATGCCACCAACCTCCGCTGTTAGCCCCTCCTCCCCCTTCCCTTCCCTTCCCTCCCTCCCTCCCTCCTGTTTCTCACCCGCTCTCCCGACGACGGTGTAATGCTAAATGCCAAGGCTAACGTGATGCTCGCTAATAGCTCGGGTGATGCTAATTAGCGCGGCGGTTTGTCGATTTTTTCCTCTGAGCTGCGTTATCGGTTCGCCCTGCACTCGCTGACCCACTGTAATATTTTAAGTTGCTTGTCTGAGCTGCTCGAAAATGTCACACAAAAAAAAAAGAGAAAGAGAAAAAGAAGGAGGTTTGGTGACCGTCTGAAGTCCAACTCAGCCTAGCTTAGGGTGTGTCACATGCTTCCTCTTTGTATTAGCAGCTCGTAGCGTACCAGGCTCCCGCTAAGGCCTTTCAACTTCAGCCCCAATCCCCTCAGCTGGTGCACGGAGCTGCGCTCACCTCCGCCAGATTTAGGACTCACAAGAAAATACCCCCAATAAGCCTCCTTTTGATAAACTGCCACTCACAGTCAACTGTCTCAGATAATTGTTCTGACATTCATATGATTGGCCTCTCTCTGTGTTTTGACTGAATCGAAGCTGAATCTTTAATGTCATCTCTCTCTCTCTCTCTCTCTCTCTCTCTCTCTCTCTCTCTCTTTCTCTTTTTTCGTGTTTACAGGTGAGTGCTGTCGGCGCAGGAGGATCTGCAACAGACGACGGAGGGATGGCAGGACTGCTCCTTCTGCCGCCGTTTCCCGCCTTTCAGCCTGGAGTAAACGCGGACGACGGCGATGACTTTGGGACATTGCGGTGCTCTGTTTTTCGCCTCTTCGGTGTTGCATTATGGGAGCCAATGCTCAAAGCTGGACTTGATAGTGAACGCAAACATCACGGCGGTGATGGACTGTGACACTGTGGGGGAAACAGGGTCCGGACAGAAGATCAGCAGCTGGAGGCGTCACTCTTCTCTTTGTGTTTCTGAGGGTGTGGCTCTGACGTTTGTAAATTATCATTAAACAATATTAATTAGACTTGAAACTATATAATGTGTCAACTAATAACTAACATAAGGCTCCACTCACTGTAGGTGATATTTGATGAGCTGTAGCCCGCGTTGTGTTTGATTTGCTTTTGTTATAGTTGCTAGGACTCAAAGACGCGTGAATGTGAGACCCACGGCAGCAGTGAATAATACTGCACTGCGATTGGACAGCTCCATGTGTCGGCTGACACAATGGCGAAGGAGTGAGCTGTCGTCTTTATACTCTATGCAACTGTTTTATCTTCATTTTTTGTTTTTTTGTTTGTACTTTGGATTTTTTTTGTTGTTGTTTCTGGGCTGTAGTTTATAGACGTTCCTCCAGACGTCATCGAGACACGTGGTTTCTGAGGGAGCCGACACTCCCGTCGTTAATACACTGATGCAGAAGTTACAGTGGGCGTGTTGTGCGAGTGTGTGACAGACGACAGAACATGGTTTCTGTGTCTTGTATTTGCCGCCTTAACAGACTCTGATTGGACTGTGCAGCCACGAGCCGCAGTCTGAGTAAACGTGGACTCTCACATTTAATATTCCTGATGGCAGGAGTGTATTTGATCAGCAGGAGAGTAGCTGAGCAGGGCTCATGGTTCTGTGTGTGTGTGTGTGTGTGTGTGTGTGTGTGTGTGTGTGTGTGTGTGTGTGTGTGTGTGTGTGTGTGTGTGTACACAGAACCTGCCACACTATTAAAACCTTCCCAGCAGGCTTTGAGACGCAGCAGCTTGGCTCATAGCCGTCACCTGCTTCGCTGTAATGCTACATCTCTGGGTGAGACATGACAAATACATTGGCTTCAAACACCGCCTTAATTTCCTGTCCTTGACATTAACACACACACACACACACACACACACACACCCAAATGCAATAAAGCAAGTACTATCGCAGCCTAATTCATTCTATATTAATTTCCAGGAAGTGGCAAATTTTTTATTACGATTGATAATCTATGCAAATCTTTTAAATATTACTTTAAACAATCTATGTCTATGCAGTGCTTTTGCAATTGATTCAAGGGAGGATATCTTGGTCTAATTTAGAAAATGTATTCTTTTGATAATCATGCACATCCCAGTGCTCAAGACAATTACTTATCTGCCTGGATAAGCTTGAAATTATGTTTTTAATCTCTGGCAAAAAAAAAAAGAAAAAAAAAAAAGGAGTCACTCTTGTGATATCAGTCCAGTGGCATGAAAACCATGAGTTGTGGTCTAAAATAATGAAATGGGTTGCACTAAATCTCTTTTTTTTTCTCCTTAAATGCAGATCTGTGCGGAAACGCTCTTTATGTCGTAGCTTATTGTTTTAGACGAGCGGCCGTCTTTGTGTTACGCAATCTGACGGCTACGTGTTCACCACATGTGCCTTTCTGTGGAAAACTACTGTGTTGGAATAGTAATAAAGGTTTACATTGAAAACAATGGAAAACTGGATGTTGTGCATTGTTTTGTTTTTTTTTTTGTAAGTTTGATGTGCACGTGATCGGGTGGGAGGAGCCTCGCGTGATTGACAGAGAGGTCGTCCAGTCAGCCGCCACATCACTGAGCTTTACAGTGAAATATGTAAAATAACAAACATATGTGATATATATGAGGAATATTGAAACACAAAAGAAACAAGAATAAAATCTAAATTTCTCCAATAGCTGGTCCAAATCAGGTCCAACATAGTGTTACAGCCAAATGAAAAGATTATCATAATTCCCCTGAGATCAAACAATTTCCAAAACACCATCAGGGACGTGGGTTTGCTTTTCCTGTCGCGTTTGGCATCGAGCTGCACGGCGGCAGAGGAGAGCGGCGCCCTGTGCTCGTTTAAAAAAAAAAAAATGAATCAGTGCAAAGATGGCCTCTGTAGTAACCAGAGAAAAGCCTGAGCTGCGTGTTGTTGTGTGGATGAGTAACAGGCCAGTGTTACATCCACACACACACACACACACACACGCGCCACCGGCCCACTGGTGTTCTGGATTTAGGCAAAACAAAAGAGCACAGTAGCATCCTCATCCTTGATTGTGATTGTGATTGTGATTTTGTGTGTGTGTGTGTGTGTGTGTGTGTGTGTATGTGATTTGCTGTCTGACACCACATATGGCAAACGCGCCAACACTGACATATGGGCCCCTCACAATTCATTAGCATTATCATGTAAAAGAGGGTAATCCCACTGTAAAACAAATGAAATGTAACCCTTTACAGTACAGGTTGATCACGCAGCTCTTTTCATTCATTCCCTTCCTCTTTTATGAAGTCTCCTGTAATTCAATGAAAGAGGTTTCTTTTATTATTATTATCTTTTTTTTTATAAGGCAGCTTCAGCGCAGCCCCCTTGGGTGTCTGCGTGCTCGATGCAGAGGCTTTACAAGCCGCTCTCCTCTTGTTTACAGCTGCGCCGCGCGCCGAAATGAGCCGTGGTACACATAAACAGCAGCTCCATGCAAATATTACAGTGCCCTTATTAACCAGGGCAGGCTGCAATTACATTATGTCCCAGGCGTTAACATCCAGAGAGCGGGCGCCGCGTTCCTCCGTGACAACTCCCCTCGCCCTCAGTGTTTCTTGGCGGCATTATGGTCCTCATAATCTGATTCACAGTTTTTGTCATGCTGCCAAGAGGCACGTTGTATTAGCCAAGCGCTATAGGCCTTAATGAACTGAGTGCCAATGTTAAGCACACCAGAGCAAGCCGGAGTGACGGCGTACAACCGGAGCTGTCATTTGCAGCCATGTTGGGATCGCAGTCTAAGTTACAGCTGTTCGCGCTCAAAACGTTTGTCAGGTCTCTGCGAAAAAAGGAAAGGAAAGGAAAGGAAAGGAAAGGAAGTCACCACCTCCTGCTTCACGTGTTGAGCATCCTGACGGAGGAAACATACACCGAGCTCAGGTCCTCCACTGCGAGAGCGTGGCTTTCTTCTTGACATAAAACAAAATGGCTGCTGCTACATCAGATCATGGGACCGAAAGGAATCAGTTTCCAAGATGGCGCCGCGATGACATTGCCGCCTCTTAGACCGGACCGGATCGTTAAGAAAAGAAAATGGAAGGGCCACACTTCCAGCCACGACTGTTTGATTGACAATTACACAAGGGCCGAAGGCAGAGGAAGGGGAGGAGGAGGGGAGGGGGCGGCGGTGGTGGCGTGGCGAGTGGGGGTCCAAAGTGGGAAATGGCGGGTTTTGGTGCACGTCCAAGGTCGAGGAACTCGGGTGCTGCTCCTTTCACAAGTTCCTCAGAATCGTCATTGGTATGCAGGAATGCTCCCCTAGGAGGCCATTCTGTGTGATTTTGGAGGGAAACGTGTTTGCAACCGGTCGCTAGGACAGAGGATGCGTGTGTGTGTGTGTGTGTCTCTTTGGATCCGACTGTGGTCAGCGCCAAGAAAAAGTGGGCACCTGTCCAGATCTGTCCTCCACCTCTGTGAGCTGCAGCCCCGGCAATTCTGTTCAGTGAGCAAAGACAAAATGGCTTCAGATGCTTTTGAAGGGGTTTGTTGTTCTGTGAAACGTTCCAATTATAATAAATATAGATGATGAATAAAGAGGTGTGTGTGTGTGTGTGTGTGTGTGTGTGTGCGGTTGTGTGAAGATTATCAAGGCTTTCCAGATACTCGATCTTTGCAGCGATGGCGCAGATGGAGAGATGCATTTAAACACCCCTTACACATAAAACACATCAGTCATTTCAGTGACGTTTTGTTTTTTGTTTTTTTTGTCATTCACACATTTTAATCTGATGATTGATCCACTAGAAGTTTTTGTTTGTTTGTTTTTTTTTGAGTGTGACCATGTGACAGTGTAGTCTCCAGTGATTGGCTCGTGAGCTCCAGGAACAAACCGTCATGTCCAGGGACTTTTGTGCCTCTTTACATCGTCCTGCTTTAATTCCCAGCAGAGAAAATATCTGGAGCTGGAAAATGAAGTCTCTTAAAAGGGAAATTGATTTGATCTCTGATTGATGATTGATTTCCTAACTTTGCAAATCACATGACGTCGAGGTTGAAAGTGAAACTCAAAACTAAACATTTTGTTACAAGCTACAGTTAGATGTAGGGGTGGAAGTATATTATGAAGTTACGCAATTACAATTTTAACGTACTTGTACCTGAAAGCTGTCACTACTTTGTAGATTAATGAATTTACACATAAAACATATCATTTTACACAATATATGGCTTTGATGCTTTGATGGAACAACTCTACAGTTGTAAAAGCAGGTAAAATAAGCTCCACCACTTCCAGCTACAGCATTAAAATGACATATTCATGCATTAAATGTCCCATATTTCAGTTAAGATAAAGCAGATTTCAGGTAAAACCAAATGCAGCGAGGTTTGGACGGTGCAGGTCCAGAGGCTGTCGATGGCAGAGCTGACAGGGATTTTATTGTTGTGACATCACAAAGTTCCAGAAGTCCTGACGGCTGGTTTTAAGGCTCAGTTTCTGAATACAGGCTGTGTGCATTTCTCTGTGGACTGAGGCTTTGATACTTTCACAGTATTAATATAGAACCTAGACCTGATCTATAATCACACTACACATGGACAGAGACCTTTACACTGGATGGGACCTTATGTTCGTTCTCTGTATAATGGCATAATGTGTATTTTTACTTTTGATACTTTAAGTATTGTTTGCTGATAATACTTTTACTTGGTAACATGATATTGGCACAGTGAGAACAGGTTCTCAGGTTGTCAGCACTTCCTTCACCTCTTCACATTAAAACAAAGTCACTGAAATGCTGATGAAGAAATTACACTGATGTGTAAAACACTTTCTTTTCTTTTTCTTTTTTTTTTGGGTCTTATTTGACCAAATAACACGGGCCTGGAAAACTGCCACAGTATCTGAGGTGGAGTTCAGGTAAAACTGCACGAGAAAAGACTTTATTGTAGTTTTCTTTCTGCAAGTGTTTTGTTAATTACACTTTCGTCGCACTACTGTTTTTGAGCATTGTAACGCTGCACGTGTGAGAACTTTGTAAGCTCACGGAACTGAACAACTTGAACAAAAAACAGACCCGACCACAGCGGCAGCATTTAGAACTGGAGTGAGGTCATTTGGACAGGTAGCATGTAGCTGAGACGGTGACACTAAGCTTAAAATCCACTCACACCCTGAAGCAATTTCTCACAGCTTATGTGTTTTTATAATGAAGGAGAAATACTCGAGCGGGAGAGGAGGTTAGCTAAACTTTGCTAAACCTGACGAGTTGGACGTCCGAAAGAAGTGAGGATGAGAGAGAGAGAGAGAGAGAGAGAGAGAGAGCCCTGTTGTGGAATGTCAAGTAGTTTGGCCGGGGCGGGTGACTGAAGCGGGAAGTGATTTGACTAATGTTTTCCCTTTCATAGCGCTCCTCTCCACCACGTCCCCCTCTGTCCTCCCCAACCCCCAAAAAAAAAAAAAAAAAAAAAAAAAAACTCCCCAGAAAAGTTTACGGTGATGTCATTCATATGCAAAACAGGCGTGCTTTCAGCGGTTGAATGTGTGTGCATGCGTCTATGAGCGGGTGTGTGCGTGTGTGCGTGTGTGCATGTGTTGCTTGAGTGGCTGATTCCATTACTTGAAGGACCATTACACTTGCCTGTCAACAGCCAAAAGACCTGAGAAAAATTAGCAGATTAAATCACTCGTCTCCTCTCCTCCCCCTCCTCCCCCTCCTCCTCCTCCTCTTCTTCCTCCTCCTCTCACCATGCAAACATCCAGGCTGTTGTTCGCACCCATGGAGCTGTTTTGACAAAATCAAAAATGTAATGCATCTCCTTTGAAAATCGCATCAGTATTTGATCGGTGACAGGTCCTAATTTTGGCGACAAGTCTCTCAAAAACCCCCCGAAAAAACAATGATAATGGTGCAAGACACAATCAGGGCAGAGCTGCTTTGAAAGTGAGTAGCTAGGAGGCAAAATCCTATAAACAGGGGCAACCAGGGAGACTGAATCTAAATGTGGTTTTACAGTCTTGTAAAATCAAATAACACCGAAACATTAGGGGCTCCAGTACACGTTTATTGATGCAGTCGGGCTAAAGTTCAAATGTCGGGGAGGGTTCAGCAGATTCATGATCGGCTTGTGTTTTTTTTCAGTCAATTCCTAAAAAAAACAAAACAAAACAAAGTCACGCCACAGACATAAATCCAGATGATAATCCTGCAGAGGACTTCAGAGGTGACACCTACTTTTTTTACTTATCGTGGCACGACAGGAATCCTGCAGAGCTTCTCCTTCCTCAAAAACAAAAGAATAAATCCCCGATCCCAGAATGTGGGAATGAAACCCCCTCGGGTTCAGATTAGCATTCTGGGAAAACAAAATTCCCCACTGGGGCGTTCGCCACAGACCAGATGGGTGTACCCCGAAAATCAGCCGCACAGGGGGAAGTGGCTGAAGAAGAAGAAGAAGAAGAAGAAGAAGAAGAAGAAGA